GACCTGATAGGAGTTGAAAGACAAGAAAGAGAAGTTTAAATCCAGAAATATATCTTACCTCTGGCCTCCTGTTTAGTTTGAAGCAAACTGACTCCCTCAGGCCGGCAGAGGGCTGTGCAGACCTAAAGGGAAGAATTGAAAAATAAATGATACACTAGATCCCGAGAAAGTTATATGGGCATGGACATGGGTAAACAACTAGATTATAAATGATTACATAGAGGAATTATATATATCACAACGGTAACTCAGATAGGACCCAAAGATAAAACTTGCAGAATTGCTCATCTAACTAGGTAATGAGTTTAAAAACCACAAGCCAAACAGAACAGGTAGAAAATAAAATGAGCCAAGTATCTGAAGTACCTGCTGTAACTGCACTCCCACACACCCTCCACCAATTTCCTCAGGAAAAGACAGTATAGAAGAAGAAAAATCTCTGCAGCAGACAGAAATTGAATTCTGTTCTGTAATCTAGGCGGAGTGTTATGGACTTATGAAAAGAGTGAGAGACACAGAAGTAGCAAAGACACAGAGAAGTGAAAGAGGGAGACATTTAAATCTCCCTGATAAAGGAGGTTTGAACCTCATTGAGAGTCAATGTGCAGCCCCACTGAGTGACTCAGGGTGTGACTCATCGCAGCTGGCATGGACTCCACCTTACACACACACAACCTCACACTTTTTCATAAACCCTCAGGCCTTGTGTATGCTATGTGTCCCCCATGCTTAGCGTTCTGTTGGATTCCACCTGTTAACAGCCAATGCATAAGCTCTGCTCCATGCTGCTGTAATGTTACATGTGATCTTATGAATCAGCTTATGACAAGATATGAATGCAGTCTGAGCCGCGGAGCCTTCCCACAATCGGCTTAGAAGACAGATGCTGTCAAACTTGGCAATGTCCGTCGATGGGATCCTTCTTACCACCCACTAAATGAATAAGGGTAGTTGGATGACTCACCGGTCAATTACTTAAGAGGAGAGGGAGAAATAACTTGGAGAAGGAACCACATGGTGTGTCGCTCACTGCGGCTCATTCTCAGATCTTCAAATGTCTCAAAAACTGGCTACATTTTGCTCATTTTAAGATGTTGTAAAAATGTTCTCAAGATTGCATGTATGTGTTTTGGGGGGGGGGGGTTACTGGTTGGCTGTGTATCGACTGCAATGGCAGACGGCTGATCTTGGAACACGGCCCCAGCACAGCGTAGAGCTGTTAGGCCATCCGTACGTTGCTTAACGAGCCATGAGCGATCGCTATGATCTTGCCACAAATAATTCATGAGGAGCTCTGTAGTGGAGCTATGGAGCTAAAAGGGAAAGGGGGGGTGAAAGCATCAAGGAGTGGACCACAGCCTAAGTGGTGCATGGCCGAGAGATGAAGGGAGGAAGACATAAAAAGATCCATCTGACAAATGTGTCTGGAATAGAAAGGAAATCCCCCATTACCTACAGTTCTGACAAGACTGCGTGTGAACGCACGCATTTGTGTGTGCTTATTTTTAGACAGCCATTTGTGTTACTACATCTGAAAAAGGCACAGTGGGAGTGTTAGAAGTGTGTATCACAATCACAGGATGTGTGTAAGATTCTTGCTAAGGCATGCGCTATGTGTGTGTTGGAATGTGACGGAGTGAGTTCAGATTTTTATGACAGCTGTGAAACCCAAAGTGTTCGACTGCACAAGTTTTTTCTGCTGAAACCATGGGAATATGAGCTAATAAAGTGTGGCCTGGTATCAAATGAAAGGGCCGCTTGTAAATGTGTAATGGAAACCATACTTTCTAGTTTTTTGTGCTTGAATATCAGAGCTGAAGTCTAGATTATTGCACCAACGGTATAGGTACGGTAAGCTACTGTTGGTTTGTTTAAAATAGATTATAGGCGATAACAGAATTACAATTAAATGCCTTTTGGATGGATTTCAATGCAATTTGGAACAAACACCTGTGTTGCCCAGACAACAGATTTTGGTGACTCCCTGATTTTGAATAGAGTGCCACCGGCAGGCTTAAAGTTTTCACTTATTCTCTCAACATTTACTTCTCTTAATGACTTTAGTAATTATATGACTTTTACTGTAGTGCCACCATGACATTTAATATCTAAACAACAGTTAAACATTAATTGGCTACTGGTTGAATTTGAACAACTTCTCATCTAGTGCTTTTTCTGTTTGTCTAATACTATTGATATAGCTGCAAAACGAATGACACCCATCAGTTGCAGCTAGCACTTGCTAAACATCAGCATGTTAGCCTTGCAGTTGAGAGCAGTGTAGCATGCTGCCATTAGCATTTAGCTTAAAGCACAGCTGTTCTTGGGTGCAGCTCAAGTGAGACATCTATGGAGACAATGAAAATTACTTTTTTTTACGGAGGCACTACAGACCAGTGAGACGCATCACTGGAACACAGACTAATGGAAATAGGGGGGATGGAGACAAAGAGTCGGCGTAGGTCTCTGTGGCATGTCATTAGTGAGAAAGAGGGGTTGACTTGCTTCATCTGACATTTACCAGTCCGACTGAAAATGTCACGGAATGCCAGCCTTTACCTCTGGATATAATGGTGCCTCTTACAGCCTAGAGCTATTGATCCCAACAAACTTTTGTCCATTTTGCCTCCTCTCTTGTTCCTTCTGTCCACTGTCCCGAGGAAGACCGCCGTTCCTGCTCCCAGCCAGAGCTTTCATCATTTCCGTTTACTGCGTGCATTAGCAGATTTAGCTCAGTGAGTAAATGATGCCAGAGCAGTGCGGGGGACAGAGTAGATCCTCCTCGGGGGATATTTTAAGTTTGTTTTGTCACACTAGTGTGGATAATAACTGTCTGACAAAACATGTGAATGGTTGTTATTCACCGTCTATTTGACAGGCAGATCTTTGAGTCATCAAGTTTCCACACTAATATTGGCTGTATGTGGGAGTTTTTCCTCCATTGATTCCTTTCTTCAGTTTCTTTCACACATTGAGGGGCACTGGCTGTCTTTTAGGTTAGCTAACTGACTGACAGAGTTGACTATGTAGAGGTTTGCCAACAATGCCAGAAAAAGAAAATGAAAGCAGAGGGAACATTGATGCAAAATCCAATTTAGTATCCTGCTCTACGTGCACAAGTATATTTACATATATTAATGTCACATTTTCTAAGTCTTTTTTGGCATGCTGATATTCTTAGGCATGAAATAAGTATTAAGGATCACATAAAAATAACTTTGCACAATTCTACAGAAATAATAATGTCAAATCTATAGGTCAAGTGATTACAATAGTGAAAGTTATCCTATCAAAGCCCCCACCCAACCTTCAACTATTTATCATTGTTGTAGTATAAACCTCTATATATAGTTACAATTATTTTGTGAGATCAAGTAAACAATGGGAGAGGAGCAATGTCCTCTCCCTTGCACTTGTACCAGATGTATTTCACACTCCCATTATCACATTTAGCTGAAGGTCTACTGAGTTGTATTGTATGTACTGTGAATAGGAAGTGGTTCAATCAAAGCAATAACAAAAAGCAATCAGAGCCGACTAGATGATGCATTCTTTACAGTGCACTGATCTCAACCTCATTTCAAATTAAGCAGTAATCTCTTTCCCCATAGCTAATGCAGAAGCTAATTATGTTGAAAACCACTCATAAGCATTTTCTGTCTTTGTTTGCTATGCTGCAGTGGATTTCTGTCTCTTAGGAACTGATTTGAGATCCATGGCCTCTCAATTTGTTTTGGGGGGTGCTACTGTCTAGTCTATTTCTGTCCTTGCTACACTATTGTCCTCGGTTGACTGCCTTCACATCAAGTGAAGGATTTATTTGGCTACTCTGCCAGCTCAGGCAGATAGGCCCTGCGGTTACAACACAATATGAAATGTCTGAATCCACTCTTAAGATAACTCTAACTGTCGTAATGGTTTCGGTGATTGTTTTCTCTCTGAGTTAACATGTTTGAAGAGCTGAAGTTGTTTACAGATTAGAGAGGGTAAAAAAGTGCCAGGCTGCAGTTTTATGTCTTTTTGTTGCCTTCTTTGGAGATGAATGGATTGATGTTTTTACCAAGGATTTTGGGATGTTTCCTTCCAAGGCTTAGATTCTGCAGAAATGTTTTCCTCTTAATCACTTGTGGTCTTCTTCCATGCATGTTAATTGGCGGCTTTGACTGCAGCGTTACGTTTCAAAATCCATACCCACAGAAGATTATGATCTTAATTAGCTATATCACAGCCCTGGGCCCATTACATGTTTGCCCAGCATTACACAATGCCATCAAAGCAGTGGTACAGCTTGGATGGCAACAGGAGCTTGATTCAATTAGCCGGCCCTTCTCAGCTGCATTACCCACCACTCCCATGGCTTCACCAGAATCACTTCACCGTTATGAAACTACACAAATCATGAAAATAGCCCATACAGCTGACAATAAGGGTCATGTGGTGACAATGATCATTGCCATGCTTACTGCGGGCCACAAATATGTTTTAAACTGTTGTTGTAGCTGTGTCACACAAGGCAGTGATACTGTGGAATAAAGCTGCTATGCAAGTAGTTACTTGGTTTGACAGGAATATATTTGTAGTATATGTAGAATAGTAAAGGACAGTTCATGACTATGTTTTATTTGTACCTTTTAATTGTACTACATTGGTTTTCTTGTCTTTATTCTTTTCAGTTGTATCACTACAGCTTCCTGCAATATGTTTTTGTTTGACAAAGATTATGTTGTAATCAAAGTCCACACATTTTCTGTAATTAAATGTTTATTTAATTGGTAAAGATATGAACATCTTTATCCCTTATGAATGCAAATTACAATATTTGAATTGTGCTATTAAAAGTGATAGCTACTAAGTGTGCTAAGGTTGTCAAAACTCAACCAAACTCAACCATGTGATGCAACAGTTTAAATTATTAAAACGTGTTATTGTGCCTTTTGTTTCCATAAGATAAAGAAGTTATTATTAGATTGTCTAACTGTCCGCCCTTCCTTTCTCTGCAGGTACATCCGCACCATGTACCTCGGTATACAGAGTCACCGGCAGAAGGAGAACCAGCGGCGTTTTTACTGGGCTATGATGTACGAGTATGCCGATGTCAACATGCTGCGACTGCTGGAGACCTTCTTAGAAAGCGCCCCTCAGATGGTGCTGCAGCTCTGCATTATGATCCAGAGCAACAATGCTGAGTGGCTGCAGTGTAAGGACTTCCATATGGCACTATACAGGCAACACACAACTCTCATTATGTTTGTGTCTAATTCCAGACATCTTTCATATCCTTCTTTTGTGCATTACGTCATGCTGTTGTCCCATAATGCTGAGATGGTTTCGTATTTTAAACCTGACAGTTCATTTTCTGTGAAGTTCACATATCGCTTTATTTACAGTGTGCAATATTCTCCACCATTGTATTCAATTTCAAACATTCATCATTTTTGAAAGCTCTTTTACAATTCCAGTTTCCACGTGCAAAACAGCTCCCCAAGGAAGGCAATTCAATCATAACAAGTGATACCCTCCCTGTCTGGGTGTCTATAGAAATGCCATCAATACATTTGCTGAGAGGCACCATGCTGCTGCTCTGCAGATAATCCTCTATCATTTTTCATGTAGCAGGTTACTGCTCTGACATATCTGCTGTCTCTACTGTTATACAAGTCCAAAGGAAACTGAATTGTTGTTGACTGAATGACCTATGATGATCTTGGTAATAATATGGCTTTCTAGAATGTGATAGATTGCTTTGGCTGAAATGAAATGTACTGTAAGTGGAACGCCAGCCAATTCAAGATAAAAGTATTTTTCTTTGGATTATGCTTTAGACTAGAAATAAAAACTGGATTTTTCTTTACATTTCTGGTGCTTTGAAAACCATCTCATAGCATGTCAGTGTATCTCATTCTTAGTCTTTCTCTTCTTTCACACTCTTTCTCCGTCTATATTCACAGGTCTTTCAACCATGTCCTCCCTCCTGTCCCTGGCCTGGGTGCTAGCCTCTTACCACAAACTCCTGCGTGATTCACGTGACGACCAGAAGAGCATGAGTTACCGAGGTGCCCTGGTGCATCTGTTCTGGCGCCTTTTTACCATCTCCTCACGGGTGATCTCCCTTGCCCTATTTGCCTCGGTTTTCCACATATACTTTGGCATTTTTGTGGTGCTCCATTGGTGTGCCATGGCTTTCTGGGTCATCCATGGCGGCACCGACTTCTGCATGTCCAAGTGGGAGGAAGTACTGTTCAACATGGTGGTGGGGGTGGTCTATGTCTTCTGTTGGTTCAATGTACGCGAGGGCCGGACGCGGTACAGAATGGTGACCTATTATACAGTAGTGCTGTTAGAGAACGCCATCCTAAGCCTCCTTTGGTATGCGTATCGTGACCCAGTCACCACTGACGCCTATGCCGCTTTTGCCCTCTGTGGTGTCTTCCTGTGCTTTGCCTCAGGTGTGGCCTGTATGGTTCTCTATTACGGGGTCCTACACCCCATGGGCCCCCGGCTGAGGGTGCTGGCCAGCTCATGCTGCGCTGAGCTTCTTTGGGGCCTTCCATTACCCCCCGAGGCCGAGCCCATGGCTCCCACACCTGGACCGCGTGGTTCTCAGGCTACCCCCACACGGGGTCTGGCAGGGGAATATGAGGAGTCAGATGAAACACCCACGGACACCTGCCTACCGGTTTTCCAGGTGAGGTCCACAGAGCCTGTGGATGCCGCTGGCAGGCCCATCCAGCCCGAGGGTCCTCTCATTAAGATAGACATGCCCAGAAAACGCTACCCAGCATGGGATGCACACTTTGTGGATCGGCGCCTGCGCAGGACCATAAATGTGCTGCAGTACATTAGCCCTAACGCGGTGGGCATCAGGTATAGGGACGGTCCACTTCTCTATGAACTCCTGCAGTATGAATCCTCCCTCTGAAGGCATCTTTTCCCACAGCTCTGCCACGTCCTCTTACACACTACGAGGCACATACTTATCCTTTCTTGGACTATGCTCTTCCTCCTCTCCAGATATTATCTCTTTCCATTTGACACACTGCTATCTCCTTCTCTCCTCTCTGATCATTCTATTTTCCTGCAAGAGATGTGTGTCGAGACGGTCGAAACACACAGCCATGATTTATTTTTGGAAAAGAAACATACAGTACAGAGATAAAATCATGAACCTCCAATATCTGTGATATATACAGAAGAATCATGTAAATCCCTCTACATTGATATAGGAGGGTTCTGTATGCGTGTGTAGATAAAATATGAATGTTTCATTATGAAATGTGTTTAATGCATTATACTGTATTGGTGATTCAACCTGTGAATACTTTTGAAGGGCATATTGTATGTCCCTGTGACATGGGACTGGCGCAAAGCCTGATGGGAATGATGGAGGAGAGTCTCAAAGGGGGCAGGTCTTTGCACATCCCAACATTTACTGCCATTCTTTATGTAAATTATTGTACTGTATGATAATGTTTACTAATTCCTTAGCCCGTGAATTGAAAAGCACTGAAATTTCTATCGCGATACTGTAAATAACAAAAAGGACACAATCAAAGATGTGTCCAGAAGAAGCACTTCAAAATGGATTATCCCTCTGTGAGCCATACGTGGCTCAAGTGGAACCTGGCCGTACTATTTTTGTTCAAAACCCTTAATCATAATCGCATCATGTATGGAAGGAAAAAGAAGCACACCGACCTTCAATCAGTTCCACCCACATATATAATTTCAACAGTGCAGACTGCCCTCCAGTGGAGGCGAACTGGAACAGCATGCCTTACATGGTTATTTTTGCCCGTAATTGTGACAGCACAAATATTAAAGAAAAACACAATGAAAGGAAAGTAGAATGTAATTGAAATGAGCACAACATTTTCTGAATTGGTGGGTAGATCATAATTAAACATTCCAATGACTTTTTTAAAGATTGTAGGGGTTTAGTAAAGGGTAGAATGTGTTAACACCATTTTTTGTTTGAATTGCAAAGACAGCCTTCAAGGAATCCTCCACCATTCCCTTCTGAATCCTAGAAAGTACAGCCTCCCTATTTTGTTTTCTAATCAACAAATGTTAGGGTTGATAATATATGCTTATCGGGTGCAAAGACTCGTAATAAGTTCTTTAAAAAAAAGACAACTAGGAGAAGATATTTCTATACTATTATACTTCAGTGCGTGTTTGTGTCCTCATTTATAGTCATTGATACATTGACATCTATATTTTGCCAGAACACAAACTTTTTACATAAAAACAATTGTTGTGCAGTGCAGTGTTAAAAGTTATACTCCTCAACATCAGTGTGCCCTCAAGAGGTTATACTCTAATATGGGTGTACAAGTCAACTGTTTTAGCACTGCTAGTGCAGTTGAAACAAAGCCAAATCGCATCTTGCAGAACTGTCTTTCCATCGTATCTGCCCCCTTGAACCAGTAGAATGAGTCCTTGCTAAACATTAACATATATAGGCCTGCTGTAAAGCGAGTACACACAACATCTCCCAGCTGAACCTGCGGGAGTTCTTCACTACGGATACACTTGGGACGGCCACTGTATTTACTCATGACAATAATGAAATCAAATATTTAAAAAAAGATGCCTTCTAGGTCAAAGGAGTTTGACTAAAACGTTCAGAGGGCTACTAAACAATTTATTTAAAAAATGAATGCATTTCATACTCCAATTGTATCTATTTACTCAATGATTCATCCAAATATATAATGTGTGTTTTCTACATTGTTTGGCATGACGTTAGTATGAGGCATTAGTACCAATGCACCCAACCAGGGATGACCAAGAGCCCTACGCAAAGCAGAGATTCCTTTCTCCTGGCTCACAGGCTTTCTGCTTAGCTGTGGCCAAATGTGCCTGCTAACATCGTACTGTAAAAGGCAGATGCCACGTTAAGTCCAGGCCAAAGGTGAGAGGGGGTTTTTGCCAGGGATGGAAATGAACATGAGGACAGAACTTGAGAAAGGTCTTAACTGAATTATGCTGTATGACTCTTCGTATGCTTGTGTAAGAAAGATGGGTGTTTTATTGTTAGCACGTGCTGTACAACCTACAGTTTGTGTTTGGGATTTAAGTGTGTTTGCGTGGTGGTGTGTAATGCATGCATGTGTATCTCCTGAGCCCTTTTCCACAGTTCTGTCCTCTCGCCGAAAGTTCGGCTCCACCCTTGGTTGCTGCTCTGCCCTCTTCCCAATCCCTGCGTTGCTGGGCCTTGGTGCACTCCCATGACACACTCTCACACTTTCTGGTAACTGAACAACGGGGTTGAGGCTGAACAACTGGAGATCCTGGCATGAGAACATGCAATGAGGTACACTGCCATAACCAAGAGCTTCAACATCCAGGGTCTGCCACCCTTCAGCTTAAAGCGATGTTCAGCCCTGAGTAATATTTAACTGTTGGGTCAGCTAGGGTGGAGCAAACATCCAACACCCCATATGTTTTGATATACATGAGTATGCAAACAACCAAGTTGTTCATTGTTTACCATAGTAGCCAGTAGTTCTCTTTGTTGTAGTGAATTAACAGCCATGTTAATAGCAAGCCAATTCATGTAAAAAAATATTGTTGGACTTAAAAAAAACAACTAAGCAAAACAGCCAATACAGGGGTTCCTCAGGACCAACAACCAAGACCACTAAACCAGCTGACTCAGGGGTGTCTCAATGCAGTTCTCATCCCCAGGCATGTCCTCCATTTTTTCCTTACAAAATTGCATCCTGGACCACTATGTGGCTGGGATTGCACCACTTAATTATGGTTTGCACATTTGTTTTAATGGGAATGGTTACTCATTCTTATTATTGGTGGGGGGATAGGCAGTTTTTTGTGGTAGTTGGCTGCCTGGCAAACACTGCTGACATTTTACAGACATGGACATAAGTCCAAATCAGGTGCAAATACACTGTGATTAATTCATTTTTGTGCGGGTGTGTTTGTGTGGGAGGACGGTAGTATATATTATAAAAAACAAGATTATGTACAATTGGGCTGCATTTCATCTTGTGGTGCTTAATGTCGTATAATGCAGAGTATTTATGCTTGCTTAGCTGTGTCATATGAATAAAAGTAATTACAGTTAATTACATTGTTGATTTTAATTAAGTATGTGAAGAGTCTAAATGTACAAGTCTAGATTTTTATGAAACATGCAGTATATTTTACTTATTTCTACAGAACAATCACATTATTGCCACATTCTGTGTATAGTTAAACAAATTAGCTAGAAGCCCAATAAGTGGGTTTTAATTTAGTATTTGTAATGTTTTCCTTAATTATACACAGGTTTCAAAAGCTAAGCTACACAAGGGTTGCATTTGGAAACGTTACCATACAATATTATATTTGGCCGCCACACTTTACAATATGAACAAGGTCACAAATAAATCCCCTGTTTCTATCAGGTTACAAGCCCACATCTTTCAACAGACACAACACACAGCAAGAGTGTTTGAGCAGCAAGCTTGTTCTACTCAGTCCTTGTTGTGCCTTGTTACTTTGGGTGCTTCAATCCAGCCATGGCAGCCAGGCCCGCAAACAACAATGCCAATTTTTTTCTTTACTTGTTTCATGTGCCAGCCCACTCATCAAGATGGTGATAACACCAAACAATATTCTTCCTGTTTGTCTCTCCAAACCAAATCAAGCCAAGTTCTCAATTTTGTCACCTCATTTGACAACTCCATTTAATCTTACTATTTCATTCAAGTTGACATCCACAGTTGCACTGTTTCCTCGTTACAGTGTTACAACTAATAACAGAGTGAAAGAACCAAGTGGTGGGTATGTCAAAGACATGGGAGGAGAAGTAAGGCAATACTGAACACCTTCTGTACTTGAACGTAGGGTTCCTCATCTATATTACGTTGGAGCAAGCTGAAATACAACAGCCCCAGTTCATTCAGCAAGTTACAATTAGCAGTTTGGACTGAGCTCTAAAGTGTTAGTTTTGGACTGTTTGATGGAAACTCTTAACAGATGCCAGCCACGGTACCGAGCGATTTGGTCAATGATTGTTTTGTACTTTTGTCTATGCCTTTACATCTACTTCTGTCTTGCAATGATGAATGATTTGTGGTGCCAAGACGTAAAGTTTCTGTGTCGTTTGTCTTGTGTGAAAAATACATCCTCTAGCCAAAACAATAATGCCTGCAGTTGGATTTGAACGAGAGTCAATGATGACAAAATGCGCAAAAAAAACATTTATGTTGCATTTTTCTTACAATGTAAGGATTAACAGGCCTGATCACTATTTCACTTTTAAATAACCTCATTTTCTTGTTTTCCTACCACCTCCCAGCATGCCTTTGGAAGTCATTGTGAGGTGACCCTCAACATTTAGCATGTAAGTGCTCTCGACTGCACAACAAACCCTCTGATTTCTGCATTAATGTGTAGCAGCAGGTCATTGTAGTGTTTGACTTGGTTTTAATCTGTACCTTTGTGTCATGACTCATGACCATCTCTTTGACCACTGGAGCAGTATGTTCAGATGATAAAATGGTGCATTTTCTTCTTTTATTTTTGATTCCGTTTTGATTTATGTTAATAACCTGGTGCTGAATAAATACATTTAAAAAGGTGCTACTACTGTGGACTGCAGTCCACTTTTTAGCTTTCTGATAGCATAGCCTTCCAGTTGACTGAGAGGGCCTGCGCCCCACATACTTGCAGTCTCAAAATGCTCGAGCGCTAGCACCTTACAGCCACATAGTTTACAGCGGACTTCAACTCTCAATGGTGCCATTTTGATTTCCTAACTTGCTCAAAAAACGAGTGACTCTCTGCATTTAATGTTTAATATACTGGTTTAAGCATAGAGTATGTTTTTCGTCTACTATGATTCAATCTGCACTAGGATGTTTTTATTTCTTTTCTCTGAGAGAGAATGAAACTGGCAGATAAATGCATCTTTATGGCAGACGAACAGGATCACAAATGCTACTGGAGTTTGGGTTAAAAAAATAGAACGTGATTGCTGTGTTGTAAATTCCTGTCATCTATATGTCCTTAATCTGTGTGTATCTACTTTTTGTTGTTATTGTAGAATTGGCTGTAATATTTTTGTTTAACATGGATTTGATATTCCAATTAAGCGACTATGGTTGTTATATTAATTGCTGCTGATTTTTGAAATAGTTATCAAATGGTGTTGGGAAATAATGCTTTGTTTATATTCAATCAATTTCTAGATTGTGTTAGCTTGTTGGTGTATTTTACAAATCAGGATATTCCCTAGACCATTATTATTTTTTCCAGGGTATTCCAAACGTTGGCACAATGTCAGAAAG